ACCACTGACGACGAAGACGACGAAGACGACGACATCACCACCAACCACCATAACCACAACCACAACCACAACAGCACCATCACCACCACCATCACCAACAACGGCAACTAAGGTTAAGTATGCCCTCCAACAACGTACCCACTACTAACGACCACGCGCGCCACGATCAGGACACCGTGAAAACGGATAAAGTCCATCGTCAGAGTACCGTGGGAATTCACAAAGGAGCTAGGGAGAGATCTCAGCTTCGCCAAGGTCCCGAGGCCGAGGAGAAATCTTCGTTGCTTCGCGAGGGCCTTGATGAACGAAGCCGGACTATGTCCGCCGAGGTTGGGGAGAAATCTTCATCTCGTCAGGGTTATCAGAGGTTAATGTCTTCCGGAGTCGAGGAGAAATCTTCACTCCGTCCAGTCCCTAAAACCACCGCAGCTGGGGGTAAAACCCTGGGCGGTAAGAAAAATAAGAAGGCGAACGTGCCATCTAACCAGCGCAGTATCCTCAGTTTCATGGGGCCTGCTCACGAAGCCGGTGAATCATCCGAGCCTCTACAAACCTCACACCGTCCAGGCCCTCAGACCACCGCAGCTGAAGGTAAAATCCGGGGCGGTAAGAAAGGTAAGAAGGCGATCGTGCCATCTAACCAGGGCAGTATCCTCAGTTACATGGGGCCTGCTGAAGAAGCCGGTGAAACATCCGAGCCTCTACAAACCGGTTGTATTACAGCCGGAAAACGCCCTCCGACCGAAGCTGTAGCCGAAAATGCCAGCGAGTCGAAGAGGGCTAAAATAATCAAGGAAGAGCCCGTCGAGTATGCAGACAACGTGTCTGTGAAGACCGATGAAGAATCAAAAGATACCCTCCACGACAAACCCAAAAAAGTCCCCTTCAACCCGGAGGACTACGTCGAATTCATCATCATTGAAGACGAGGAGTACCCCGACGAATTGAAGTATGAGGATGCCGCCGGGTACGATGTCGAAGAGGATGACCTGCCAGAACAAGTTAGTCAGGAGGCGGGTTATTTCGAGGAGGAGGGTTTTATCTCGGACGCAGATCGGTATCAGACTGCCGGTATCGTGGACGAAGATCATGAGGCTCTCCGAGAGAGCTTCGACAAAAGCATGCACAGGGTTATCAGGTACCTGTGGAACTATGCTCAAAGCACCTCCTATGAGGAACTTTCACGTGCTGAATCCTATATCGCACCGGGCATGTACCAGTGGCTGCGGAAAGCAGACCCTCAGGTTGTATATCGCCTATATCAGGCGATCATCCCTGAGTCTACCCGCACCATCCTGGGCCACGATAGACTGACCTGCCAACACATTCTTGCTCTTCCAAAAGTGAGCCCCTCGCGTAGGGAAAAGGGTGTGTATCTGGATCTTGTCACTAGTCCCAGCGACAACGGTGGACTCTATACGGGGTCAACTATATCTATTTTCGTTGTGCGGATTACGGCGCATCGACGTGAGATCCAACGAGATGGATCTGTAAAAGGTGTACATTATACGTACATCCGAGAGAAGACAAACAGAAAGCCCCACTTTCGCGTGGTCGCTGTCTTCCCTCGAAATATGCCAGAGCTTGGGATCGAAATTGCGGACAGCGAATGGCTAATCCGCTTTCTCGAGGCGGTTATTATGATCGTGCTCGATACGTTCAAACCGGGCTCCCTACCCCAATTCTCGATAACCCAAGACCAGCTCAACCGTTTGAAGTCCGAATGTGGCCTCAGAGATACGGTTTTTGAGCCCCTGAATCGCGCTTTGCCAACAAAGCAGTCGGTTCGTTCCAAACTACCATACAAATGTGGCAACTGTCCTAGCGAAGAGTCCTCCAACTGGTTCTTGGACTTTAACGCTTCGACATTAGTCGCCGGGCGCCGTTGCAGCGCTTGTTACCAATACAAGAGAACACACGGCACTGAAAGGCCTGAGTCCGTTTATAACAGGCTACCTGCACCAACATCCGGGCCATGCAGCAACCCAAGCTGTGGCGCTACAGAAACCACACGCAAATGGTATCGTCACCCAATTTACCGAGACCGGGTTGTATGCAATGCTTGTCACGTATACCTAACCGGTAATGACGGCACCGAGAGGCCATTGGTGACTGTTCTTAAGCGCCAAAAAGACCAACGTCGGTGTATAGATTGCCCTAAATTTGGCCCAGGCGTCATATGGCATGTAGCACATGATCAGACAACAGAAGTGCTGTACAGGTGCCACGCCTGTTACAATCAATATCAAAGGAGCTTACCAAAAGCTCAGGATCAGACTACACAGCCTCGACAATGTGCCAGCTGTGGTGAATCAAATCCCCAGGACTGGCACGCAAAGTCGTCAATGTGTGGACCCTGTCATGAGGCTGATCAACAATGGCGAGAAAAGCGGGAGCGGTCAAATTGCTGGAACTGCCTCGAGCAATGGAACAGGACTATAGTGAAGCGCTGGTCTTGTTCCCTCCGCGAGTGGCTATGCAATAAGTGTCAACTAAGCATGAACTCGGGATACCTTCGTATGGCCGCCCACCACCTCGAAAACCTCGACATAAGGTGCGAGTTGTGCCGTACTAAATACAGCAAGGCTTGGTATCCAGGATGCAAATCGACAAACTTGCTAGTGTGCCGACGCTGTGGAGATAGGAAAGGCAGAGGTCTAACCGACTTCGGCGACCGTTCCAACAGCGAATGCGGGCCCGATGAGCTCACTTACCAGGGATCCCGTGAAAAAGCCGGTAATGCGATCTTGAAACCCGAGTTCTTCGACTACATTAAACGCGCCCACAACATCGACAGGTCGGTGGCAGCAATCGTGGATGCGAAGCAACTGGAGGATGCCCTGGATTTATAGGGTTCAGTTCCCACTGACGGGCCGGCTTTTGTATATAAAAATCCTCCATAGTACCTCGCAGTAGGCCGTAGTACTACGTAGAATCCGTAAGGGGTCGCGAGGTGCCCCCACCAAGCAGCTTCGTAAAACGAAGTACTTGGAGGGGGTATATCGTGTCAGATTTCAGGTAGAAGGACCGGGAAGGTTGCCTAGCTTATCTAAGCACATGTCTTGTTAGATGTCAAATGTATATACATTGATACTTGGACTCTACCTTGCAGTATATCCAGGGTGATTATATATCCCAACCACCAATAGATACTTATCACAAGTAGAAGTTTTATCGGACGAGGTAGACAGAAGATGTAGGTGCAGACGTAGACCGAAGTGTATAGCGACTATACAGAATGTGGGTCAATGGTGCGTCCAGCTGCCTTGTACCCGGTAGCTCTCCATATCCAGGCTAGCTTTGAATGGCAAACGTTATTAATTCTTTCTTCAAGGTAAAACCCATGAATGGTGGTAATATCTACCTTTAAACTGCCGATTATCCCCGTCGCCGTTAATTTAGTGGTTTTTCAGGCCCAGTCTGAATGCAGAGTTAGTACCATTCATTTCATGTTTAAATCTATAGCTAACGACTTGCTCTAGAGAACTGTCTTAATAGCATTGTAGTAGTAATATAAATGCAGAAACTTCCTGGTGTACACAGATCCTGCCGAAAGTCTCGCAGCCATTTTCGACAATCCGTTACTATATACTTCTCTTCCCAAAGGCTCCTCGGGGTCTGTGTACATGGCCAACGGGCGAAGACGCTGAGACGCACCGACCGCTGTCGTGTCAAGAGAGCTTGAAAATGTGTTGATAGTGATATTCTCACGGTATATCCAATGGTGAAAAAATGTCGGAAGTAGTGGTCGTTCCTATTTCGGGTTAGAGGGGCAAATGCCTGGAATTCTGCCAAATCCTTCCAGCTATCTCAGAATCAAGAGACAGGATCCAAGTTCGAAATTTGATAGGGTAGGCTATAAAGTGATAAAGTATTGAGATAAGATGGAGATAACAAAGGGGGTAGAGCTCTTGAGAACAACATATATTATTCTGCTGACAATGTAAATCTATTCCAAGGTTTGAGATTGTGTCCATGGTGGATATATCCTTGGTATATCAAGGTACAACCACGAGATTCAAGTCCGGTATAGAAAGATATCAATTATAATGAGTATTAGGGGATGAATGACGAGAAAGATGATGATCATATAAGACGAGGTATCTGTAGAGAAAGATAAATGGTCTGCCTGGTAGTTCTCCCACAATCATGATGATAGATAGATTCTGCCATCTTCCACATTGGGTCATGGCAGTTATGAGATCTCGCTCATTTTAGGCGTCTGGAAAGCTATCTAATCTAAATCATCGTTTTAATTAAAGAACCTGCTTCTTAACATTTAACGAAGTTTTAGAAAGCCATTAACAATTTACTACAAGTCCTGAAGCGCATCGGTCTGTGAGACTGGCCGCTAGCCCATAGCTAAGGGGCAGGGAGTTCAGTTGAGCGGTTCCACGACTACATTACCAGCTCCAGGACAGAAGTAAAATAAGACTATGGGGAGATTATTTCAGAGGTATGATATCCTAGGCTCGGCTTCGCCCCCATGCAGAGCGTATATTAAAATCTCTTGTGGAAAATGGCCGCAACGATCGCGTTGAAACTTGGCTAGGCACAATAGGTTGACAAAGTCTGGCACATGAAGCTTATCATTTGCCTAACCTACCTTACTGGCCCAGGGTTCTACTCGAGAAGATGAGATTCATGCCAATGGTTCCCGAAGCTTGAAATTCCAAGTGGTTTTCAAGCGTTCGGGAGTACCGTAACTTCCATCCAAACCACGGACATGCGACCGATTGATAATTGTTGTTATTCCTTCTTAGCAGTGTGTGATAATTTTTTCCTTCTCTCTCAAAAGTACTCAGTTATAATGAAGTACGTATTAGTATTATTTACCTACAATGGCACTGTTCTGCCCCAACAGGGTAAATGAGATCACGTGTATCACGACAGGGCACACCGCCCGGCAAAATCAGCCATGACAGCCGCAATTGATACTCTCCGAGGATACATTCAAATGGCCTCAAAATAAACTAAAAATAATCGCAAAAAATCAACCATGCGCCGGGCGGGATTCGAACCCGCGTAACCACGTTTTCCTGGACAAATCGACCCTGGGAACGTGATATCCTAACCACTAGACGACCAGCGCATTTCTTGAGTGGCAAAGACCGTTTTCCGATATGTATACACCCTTTTTCTAGCCTAAATTAGGATTTACGTTGCCTTGGGAAGGATTTTGGGGTATTTTTAAGACAATATTTGAGCGTACATATGCTGTCCTGCCCCTACGGCGTTTATTTCAAGCTTATCAAGCTCAGATCCTCGCTAGTCTAACGCTAGAGCATTAGTCACAAATCTTTGAATGGTTAGGTAATATTTCAATTAAAGTGACTCATTCTTTGACCTATGATGACAGTTATGCTATAACTTACTCGGGAGTAAGTTGCTCAACGTTAAGACACTCCAGAAAGTGCAATTGAGTCTACAAATGTCGCAGGCTATTGATGTACGATTCTGCATGAATATGGGGAAATATCACGCAAATATCCATGTCTTGAGAATGGTCAAGCCTTCTACATTGTCCTCTCTGCTATATAATTAGTTACATTGAGAAAGTCGACACATAGGTGGCTCTAAAGTAGTAGTGGAGTAGATAAGGTCAAGTTGAAGGGTATATCAAGTTAGGGCTTCTATTATGGGGTCCCCAGGCACCCAGGCACCCTCGGGCCCCCAGCCACGCTTGGGGCATGCCGTTCAGAGTGGACCACAACACTCCATCACAGGATTTCTTTCTTACGATAGTGATACTTCCGGATACCACTTACCTTTCTTCACTGGAGTAATATACTAACTGTTAATTTCATTTTTTTAGACATGCAAAACCAAACCCCGACCAAAGAAGCGTACATGATAACCACTACACTACACCCGCTCTTCTTATTTGAAGCTTGAAAAACAGCAAAATATCATCCCCAGGTTGTATAGCCTCTTGGGGGTTTTGGTCCCATGGATTCGGGTATTTTAGGATTTATAGTGGGTCTACATCTTAGTCTTATGCGGGGGCAATGCTGTGGATCTATTTTTATCTAGTTTCTCTAGTGTTGGTTGTGATTATGGTGGTGCTACCTGCTCTGATATCAAGTTCAGGGTATAACACATCCAGGTGACCAGGTGACCAGATGACCAACTCGATGCGGTGGCAGAACTTTTTATGATCATGTGATTTTCGAGGTTCATTACTTTCTGTTACTTCCTGTGTACAGAGTACAATTAAGCAGTATAATTAAGATATCAACAGACGCCGATCATTGGAAAGGCCCTCGATCCCATGCCTTACAGCACCCTTCCATATTGTAAACGGCCATACTTGTCAATTCACAGAACTGTAATCTGTTTGATATCTACTCGAGAGTCGTGCTACGCCTCTGCTCACGTTTGAAGTCTTGCCACTTGTTCATGGCTTAAATGAACAACTCGATAACGAGTCCCGATTCCACCAAAGCAAATGGTGACTTGGTCTAGGCTTGTACCAAAGTATATCCAAAACACCAACAAAATCGTGTACATCAACGTACTCCCTATTTTTCGTTATACTTTTACATATCACTCGATGGAAGATTTGAAGGAATTTACAACCCTGAGTCACTAAAACTGGGGTATCTCACATCGGAGTAGACAACCCTAACTAGTAATGACGAGGGATACCTACTCTCAAGATGATAAGTAAGCTTGATCAAGATAATCAAGGCCTCTATTGAGGGAAAAAGTAGTACACAGTAGTTCCTCTCCCCGCAATAACAGCCATCCTCTGCCTCTCGTCATTGTGGTGGTCTACCCCAGTAACTCACGTTCAAGTCTCACGCAGTATGACCAGCTATCGTACTTATATACGAATCTGTACTTTACACTTGAAAATGTCAAGTCATTCTTCAAGTGCGAAAATATTTCGGGAGAATCTCTCAACTTGTATCATACCATGGACAAGTTACCCTGTTTCTCAGGATAGCACCTGTTTGTTTTTCAAGAACGTTCATGTGGAGTATAATACTGGATCTTACACGAAACCCCTATACGTCCTGCCTCCATAGCCGTCGAATTTCCAGGCTCGGCATCCTGTTCCTCTCAAAGCTACGCTCTTTAAGGGAGATAGGCTGAAAAAGGATGGAACAGTGTGATCTGGTCAAAATAGGAAATCATCTTAAGCGCCAATTTGATCCTGAAGAAAAGAGACCTAGATAGAATGTGCGCGAGCTTTTTAACGCCTCCTAATGAACAAGAGCCCGGTGCCCTAACTGCAAAGAGATGCATTGGCTACATCACAAGTCTCAATCACAATACGGGACAGTCTCAGCGAATCCTGGACAAAAAATCCGTAACAGCATAGTCATCGAACGAACCCAAGCACACATTGTGTCTGGATAATCCTGAGCCACAGGATTACCTGCATACCGGCCGTCGTTTAGGTGTAACAAGTACATTCGCAATAGCCCTTTTGGCACTTGAATGTATATGGAGCATTGGCGGAGCCGCTGCAATGATATGCACACCAGTTTGCGCAGACAAACTCACAAGCGGAATCTGTAGTGCAGAGCTGGCCGGTGGTATACGTACCACATGGTTTGGGTTTGGGCCCGTGGGCTGCTGTAGCAGCCGCAGTCGCAGCGCACACGGATATTATAAGAGTGGCAGGTGCTATAGGAAAGTACATAATAGTGAAAAACGATCTCGAGTTGGGTATTATAGTTCTGGAAAATGGATTGCTATGTTCTTTTTGGGTTTCCTGCGAGACCTGTTCAAGACCTGTGCAACCGTGTCTAATATATTCCCTCTGGAGACACCTTCTACATGGATAGGTTCATCGGTGATCAGATATGAAGTCATATAAGATTGCAGCTAGGTTTCGAGGTGGCGCAATAACTTGCAAGATGTCGAGGCGAAAGTATATAATTTATGAGACGGCGCCGTTAGTCGCCCTTATTTGCAAGTGATGGCTTTGATAGTCGAACTTATTTCTCCACACCTAGAAATCCAGCAGATAATACAATGAAGGATTCCGTGGTTGACCTGTGGGTTGATCTCGTGGTGCCCAAAGCTTGGCGTGGATCGCGGCCAGTCCCAGTAACTCGGTGCGATAGAGTAGATCAGTCGCTCTTGCGCGATTGGATAAGTGACTACTTACAAAACTTGTATTTTGTTATCATGGGCTGGATCGTTCCGAAAAATGGTTCCAATTGCCACATGTTTATACCTGGAGTGAAGGCTAATGAGAAACATTGGCTAGAACCTCGAGCCGCGTAAACAGTGCTCAGCTGATCCACGCTACACCTTCAAGAGGCAACCCTACACGCCATATATCAGACGGCGAACAAGCCTAGGCCGGCCATCGGCTACCACACCCTGGCACATATAATTTCATCAACCATGTATCTGAAAATTATCAGACATGGAATTGAAGCACTCTTCAAAGCTCAACCTCATTAACTGCCCTAGCAATTACAATGTCTGAGATAAAATGTCTCTCAGATAAAGGACTATACCCTCACCCGCTGGACTGGGAAGGCTATGACATCTGAAAGAACTTTCTCTTCGTCAATCACTTTGTGATGATGTCGAAGCAGATGCGATTTTACCACTCGGACAGTTTGATTCGGTTCATGCGAAATCCCTTAAATTTTGGATGCTGAGACTGCGGTCCTTTCCTAGGCCTAGTCACACTCAAGGGGGTTTACTTACATAACTGGAACCGATCATAGTGATTGCGTATGCTGTTCTGGCTGGAGTAGTTTGGATCCGTTATGCATCGACAACTAGCGATCTTGGTTACAGGGAGCGCCATTTGCAAATGCATTGTATGAGTCTGACTCAATGACCGTTTTCATAAGAGAACACATTAGTTATTTTAATTAAAATGTGTTATGCTTTCGATATTTCAGTCTGCCATGCCCATGATAGAGTCCTGTGAAGAGTTATAGATTAAGGATAACCACACCAGGGGGATCTATGGAAGAACCATAAGCAGGATGGGGATGGAGGCATATAAGAACAACTTCTACTATGCATTTTCTTTCGCACACGCAACTCAAAGAAATATAGTTCGAGGCCACGCCGATCGTGTAGTCCTCTGAATTTGAGAAGCAACCGGGTATACCATGAATTACGTCGTTGTGGACTATTTTCGCGTCGTGGGAAGTTTATCTAGCCATACTTATGATTCGGAGTAACGAAGTGCATCCTATATTGACTCTCTTGTGCTTTACGACTCCAGGCACATGTCACGAAGCAAATCCTTGATTCTCTGCACCCCTTCCGTTTCATCCAGCTCGGGATACAAAGAAAGAACAGCATTCAGCTGTGAGTTCGCAGCCTTGAGGGTCTTCTCTGTTCGTGCGCAGTGTATCTTAACAAACTTCTCATGGATACCCTTGAAGTGGAAGGCGGACTGAAAAAACAGTCTCCTACCGGAATGTTGCAGCAGTGTTGATACGGTAACCGGCGATATTTCTTTGTTCTTGATTGCATTCTCAAGATAAGAACGATCCTCGCCGAAGCTTTCTCCTTCGGCGACGCCATCATTGCTCCATCCCGGAATATCGGCTATGAACCAGCTAGTCGCACGTGTCTTCAGTCGAGATCTCAGCATGCTGATTTGGTAGTTACACATATAGCTATCCACGGGGTGATGTATAACGGCGGGGAGCGGTGCGACAGATATCCAATCCCAGTCGACCACCCTGGAATTTGAGCCATCCATTAGAAAAGTTGTTAAAGAGAAAAAGTTAAGGAAAACGACGCGCGCTTACCCTGTCAAGTGAAAGTCACCATCTTTCATGATATCATACGCATTCAGGTCTCCATGGGCGAAGCCAACATCTGTGTACTTGTCATAGTCTCCAGCATACTCGGGGATCATCGACCTCATGATAAGATAGTCGATGGCATCATCCCATCTAGCAGTAGCAGTGAGAGTTCATCGGAGACCTCGGTCTAGGCTCTCTGTGAGCCAAGCGGAATACCAAGGCTTTTGCTCTGGCATAAAATCAGGGGGGACTGCAGTAGTCCATAATTGCAGTAGGAAGTCCGCAAGGTCCTCGAGAAGCGTTTGGCGTTTGCTAAGAGGGATCTGGGAGTTCCAACCCTTCAGCGATTCAC